TCCTTGGTGCTGGCTGTAAACATCAGGGGTTGGAACTGCTGGGAGCAGTCGCTGTCTGGAAAAACGTGTTGCTGTTTCAGAAAGTGCCGTTAGTTAGAGGAGACTTGACTGGTTCAGCCCAACCCAGGACACATGCCAAGTAGGGGAGCCAAAGGTGAGAGGTCCGCCCTAGGGTAATTCCTGTCTGACATGGATGCTTCATGGGCTGCCCCATCTCAGGTCACCTGCTGCCTTAGCTTCCCTGCCTGCAAACCGGGCTGTGCTCCAGCCTGCCCTGGGTGGGAAAGGGATCTCCTCACCACTCTGCCAGTGCTCCCTCCGGCAGACCAGCGGGTAGCTGCTGGGAAGGGAACACAAGGAGATTTTGCCTCTTGTTCCCTTGCAAAACATACTAGGCCTGGCAGAACAGCTCCATGAGTGAGACCCGGGGAGGATTATTTAATTCTAAAGCCACCCCACTGAAATGAATTGTTCTGCAGCATTGCTAGATAGTGCTAAAGGCTGTTGTAATACCTTGTTCTGTCCCAGCGTGCCAGGTGGACACCAGTATTGGCGCAGGCTTCAGCCAAAGTTCACCGCGCTTCCATTTCTCACCGGGTCCTGAGCCAAGAGCAGTGTTTGCCTGCTGGGTGCTGTGGAGCTGGGCGAGTGCCTGACTGCTCTGCTCACCGTGCTGTCTGCCACGTCCAGGTGCTGCTGGTCTCTGCAGAAGAGATAGAGGAAATCACAGCCGATGCAGGGTGTCGAGCCAGTCCGCTGCTCTGCCTCTCCCAGGACTCCCTGGTGGATTTTCTCAGGCCAGTGAGAATCCAGCTGCCCCTCCCGCCCGGGGTCACAGGTCAGTTTATTCCCAAAATTGGCAAAGAGAAACACCGTATGCGGAAAACCGTGAATGGCAAGCTGGGAATTCTGTTTGCCTCTCCTGTTGATGATAAAGCCTGCTGCTGTTCCTGCAGGAGCGGCAAGGTGTGTCTGTGTGGTGCAGGGTGGTGGGAGCTGAAGGTAGTTCAGGTTTTGGTTCATCATTGGGAATAGCTTGAGGCAGGTAATGAAGGTGCTGCCTCCAAGGGTCTGCCTTCTCTCTTACTTCCTTGCTCATGAATCAGGTGCTGAGCCACTGCAGTTTAAAGTGTACGATCATACATGAAGCCGTCTCCCAATCTGAATGCTGCTGTAAACAGCTTCAGCCTGTCCAGGATTCCTCTGTTCGTGTGCTCAGTATCCTTTGTCTCCTAATTCCTATTTTCTTTGACCTTTTCCTGGCTTTGTTGCGAAGAAGTGAAATCTTTCTGGGTGCAGCTTGGCCTTATTGTAACACTACCTGGTATTTGTATGTCTGAAGTGCATCAGGATTGAAAAGTCGGTGGGATGTACATTTAAGAAAGAGATAGAACTTAATTAATAACCCTAGATACTGGTGATGGGAATTGTCTAATGAATCTGTTGGTGGAAGTCAGCACACTATCAGTTTAAGTCTGCGTATTCTGCCAGAATATCCTGGAAGCATTGGGGGAGCTCATCCTTTTATTGCCGCTCTTCTTTGACCAAAGGTCGGTCCTGGATGCTGAAGAGAAGGCCATGAGCCTTACTTTGATGCTTTTAAAAAGTGAATCACCCAAAATTGTGGCTGGGTTTGTAAAGCCACGAATAAAGGCTTCTGCTGCATATAGCATCTCTTGATCTTTGTTGTCTTTAGGGCTAAATTTGGATCGGTCAAGGCTGCATCTTCTCCACGGCGACCCGGAGGGCCAAACCTGGGATGACATTACCAGTCAGGTCATGCTGGAATTCACCCATCTTTATGCAGTGTTTGAAGTCACCCACTTCTCCTGGTAAGTGCAGGATTAGTCCTGAGGAAAAGATGGGACGTTCCTCTGTCTTGCTTTTCCCACCCTCTGACTAGGGGTCATGCCATTAACCCTACCTGTTCCCTTAGCACTTTGTCTCTACCCATCATTTTTACAGTCTTGTGGGGGTGACACTGCCTTCTATTCCTAGGCAAGATTCCTCCTTTTTCTTAAATCCTTGTCTGCCAGGTACTGGCTGTGGTACACCACCAAGACCTACATCGGAGGCATTGCCAAGAAGGTCTATGAGCGGCTGCGTATGTACCAGGTGAACTTCATTGCTCTGCAGAGGAAGAAGGACCCCGAGCAAGTCCTGCTACAGTGTGTCCCCAAGCACAAGGTCTGATCTGGGTTGTATCGCTTTGCTCCTGAGCTTCCTGGGCCTCCCTTTGTAGGATGTAAGGGCAGCAGTGCACCAAATGATCTGCCCTTGCAGGGTCAGGGCTGGGGTATGCTGTCACCACGCTGTGTTGGTAGTGTGATACCGGCTCGCTGGGAGCTGGGGGAAGAAGGAAAACTCATTCTATGCATCGGTGGATGCCATGCAGTGATTTCCTCCCCTGCAAACCTTGAGGACTGGGCTGCTAAAAATCGTCTGACTGGCCATGTGCACGCTGTTGGTGTCCAGCAAACACGAGGCAAAACATGTTGGCTTAAACTTCAGTCAAAGATGTTAAAGTCAACACGTCACCTGTCTGACATGGGCTAGTAGTGTGGGCAGTAGCACTGCTTTGGTTTCAGCTGGAGTGGTTCGGAATGTTCCTCTTCCCGAAGTTCCTTGCTGTTTACAGTTCAAGCAGTGGAATAGGACACATGAGCCCTCCTTAATCTGCTTCAGTGCAAGGTCTGGTTAGTTTATGCCATGAGTTTGAGCTCATTTGACTGACGTTGAGATGGGAAGCGCTCGCACGTTCTCTCCTGGCGCCTCTGCCCCAGGGCCATCGGCCCTCAGCAGCGTTCCTTCGTCTGTCAGCAAAGTAAGGGGGTGCCTCTGTGGTTGGAGAGCGCGCACCCTGACAGAGAGCGCGGCTCAGTGAGGTGGGGGTTACCTTATCCAACTGCCAGAACTGGGCTGTGGATCTAACTCTCTGCATAATCCTCTGGCCTGGTGGCTCCATTTTTTCTTTATTTGTTCTCCTGTACTGAAATGGCCTGTGGGCATAAACATCTGTAAAGATTCTTTATATCTTGGGTTTTGGGATAAAATGGTTTCCAGAGGAGGCAGCAATGGCACTCACAGTGAGATGGGGGTTTGAGGAGTCTGCATGCACCCTGGTCACAGGGTGGGAGAAGGTTTATTGTTACAGACAGAAAGAAGAAGAGACACCTCGGCTCTAGGCTGACTGCTGCAGTGCCTCTGAGACCCCAGGTCTGACAGTGCGATCACAGGCTGCAGTGCCAAAATGAGCTTGCTCGTGGCCTCAGCCGTGTGCTATTGTAGCATGAGAAAATGTCTTTCAGTGGCCTACTGTGAGGGGGATAGGGTAGCAAGTAAATCCCTCCCTGTCTTTGAAGGTTACTGACCTGTTAAAAAAATAGAGACATTGCTGAAAATGGTTTTTTAAGAGCGGCTTTGGGCTGGCCTGTCTTTGTTAGTCCACATAGGCTTGTCTGCTTTTGCCCTGAGAAGAGGAATAGGAAGCCCCAAAACTCAGAGCACAACTTCAGGTCTGTAGGGAATGTACCTGGGGTAGGAGGGGGTGGGTGTCCGTTCACTTCTTTACGTCCTTTCCATGTGAAATGGACTTTCCCTGATGAAGGTGGGTGAGAGGAACATCACGGGCACAGGGACGTGGGTCGGGGGACAGATGTGCTTCAGACCACAGACTGGGTCCTGCGTTGTCCTTATCAGGTTGACCCCGTGCTGAAGAAGCTGCAGGACCGCTATCGAGGACCTGAGCCATCCGACATGGTGGAGATGTTTGAGGGAGAGCAATTTTTTGCAGCTTTTGAGCGAGGCATCAGCATTGATATGGGTATGGTAGCACTGGGCTCCTTTCTGCTCCTACCTCTTCGCTTCCCTAGCCCTAGGCATGTTTCTGCGGGGGGCTGCACTCCTCCATGACATCCCACTCTGTCTCCAGCTCACCCACCACTCGCAGCAGCCAGCCCATGGACATTGAACTTGTTACATTCTCTGGTCTCCCAACTTTTGTGTCTGCTTTTCCCGATAAAGTGCTGTTTGCAGGCTTTCATTTCCCCTCATGCTGTTGCAGCCTGCAGAGGCAGTAGCTGAGCGTGTTTGTGATGGATCTGCTTCTGCAGCCAGCTGTGCCCTTGTCCTGGCGTCTTAGGCACTGCGCTGGAACGCCCATGGTGATACAGTTAATGTTGCCCATTTCTGAGATAACACATACAAAGGTGTTTTTTTGGAGAAGGTATTTCTGAAATAATCCAGAGCAAAGAGTCCCCCCTAGTGAAGCCATTAGAAGAGAAGGAAGGAGGGAGCAGGACCAAAACTCAAGATGATGTTTTATGCCCCAGTGTGTCTGGAGCTGTTATAGCTGCAAACTGAGCCATTTTCTGCAAAACCTGAACGTGCCGCTCAGTTTCATTGGTGTAAATTAAGCACAACTCTGTGAAGAACAGTAAAGTGCACTGGTCTTTCAGTTCATGAGGCCAGAGTCTGTCCATCTGTCTGATTTAGGCTGGACTCTAACTTATTTTCTAGATAATTACATACATGAATGTTGTAGTGATTATATTTTTTTTCCTTTAGCTCTATTCCTATTTCTGCAGCCACTGCAGGAATGGTGAAGTGATAAGGGACCTATTTTTGTGCATTACACGATGCTATTGCAGCTGATTCTACCCTCCAAGAGGCAGAATGGACCAAGGATGGGAGGGAAGTGCCAAGAAAGGACTGGACTCCATCTGAATGTCTTGCCTTGCCTTCCGTTCTTGAACTTGATCTCCACCTTGTGGCCATTCTCCTTTTTCACCTGTAGGACCTGCTTTCTCCACAGCCAGTTTTCCGCTTTCCCCTGTCACCCAGTGAGGAAGGGGGGGAGTTACAATTCTTTCAGGCATGAGTAGAAGGAGTGGGTGGTAGCATGGAGGCTGCTGGTGGAGGATGGGCTGTTGGCTGGGCTTGAGAAGCTGCACGCTGTCCTGCCCAAGGTGAGTGTTCGCTGCCTCTGCACAGATCGCCCCGACTGCGTGGATGGACGTCTCTCGTTCATTTTTTACTCCCACCTGAAGAACATGAAGGAAATCTATGTGACCTCCCCTGTGGACAGGAAAGGCCAAGCTGTAAAAGGCCAGGTGAGCAGCCGGTTGCGCTGACTTTTTGTTTCCTCCTTCATCGTCATCATCATTGCTTTTGCAGTGCTCCTCATCATAATCTCTGAGCACTGGACATGACTCTTTTCCTGCCCTCTTTCTCTTGGCTTTGGATTTCACTGACTAAACCCTGAATAAACAAGAAGAGTAGTTAGGAAGGATCACTCATCCCTTAGCTCTCTGACTTACATCCCTGCCATTAACTCTTGGGGTGTTGGCAGCGAGTCCAGCCTTTATGGCAGAACTTCAGTGCTCCTCCCAGTTGCACTTAATTGGGAGACCACATTTATGGACACAGGATAGGTGTGAAAAGCTGGATTCATTCTTTCCCAGGCAGAAAAGACGTGGTGCAAACAGGCTTGGCCACCGTGCTTGAATCTGAGCCTCACTGCGCGCTTTCTGTTTGCAAAGGTCTCTTTCTACCGAGGGGCTGTTCCTGAGAGCATCCCTGAAGATGCCAGCAGGAGGAGGAAAGGACCAGACTCCCTCTGGCTCGCTACTCTGCCCATCAAACTGCCTGTGAGTTGTTTTGTCTCCTCCAGAAAAATCAATGTAGATAGGGCAAGAGCACGGCCTCCCTGCTCAGCTAATTTTGTCTTCCTCCATGAGAACGGGTGCAATGAATGACTGCAAGAAACGGCTGCCCAGCCGTATCGTGGTGGAGATTTCCCACTCCCCATGAGCTCTTCTGAGAAGAGAAACGTGAACAGCTGGGAGTGGTCTCCATCTTTGCCGCTCATCTTGCCTGTCAAGCCCAGGCTTGTTGGATGGGTGCTCAGAGAGGGTGGATCCTTTGAATGGAGAAGGGATACAGAACAGGAGGAAGCTTGCTGTAATTAAGGGACATGTTGGCTTTGTTTATAAATTTCTTAGTCATGCAGCTCACGCAGCCGCAAAGAAGAAAGGTCTGGGATGAGGTCGTTAGGCTGGATTGGAACAGAGGCGTTGAGTATCGGTGTTCTGGTGTGAGCTGCTGGCCTTTCAGGGCTAGGCTGTATGTTCCGTGAGAAATGCAACTTTTGCTTGCGGAATTTAATTGATTTTTGGGAAGCTTAAGATAATAAATACCTTTGAGGGTGAATGCTTCCCTTCAGATCACGTGCCATGATCACACGTCCCTCTCTGACACGTGCAGCCTCAACTACAAATCTAGACCAAGTGCTCGCTTACCCTGAGGCAGACGGGCTTTGGGGAGACAGTTCAGTGACAAATGCTCTGTAGAGGCAAGAAAGGAAATTTCCAGTGTGAGTTACGCCTGTGAACACGAGGATATTTTTCAGAGGCAGTGGGCGTTGCTGGTCATTGCCAGCGTGAGCGCTCCTTGCTTCCTACAGCCTGACTCCTCATCCCCAGGATCTTCCTTCCTTCCCAGTAGGAGGAAGGAAATTTCAGTGTGGAGACCAAATGGCCTGACACTGTCCTCTACAAATACAATTCCTTTAGCATGTTCTCTCTCTCGCTTCTCTGTGACACAGCGATTGAAACCCCGCGGGGGGGAGAACCCCAGTCCCTTGAATGGCTTCTCCTTCCCTCCCTTGAACCTGGGCAATGCCGAGACGGGCTACCTGACGCAGGCCAACCTGCTGAGCATCGCCAGGCGCGTGGGAGCGGACTGGCAGACCATCGGCCTGAACCTGGGCCTGACCTATCAGCAGATTGAGCGCATAGGGTACAATAACAGGTACGGCAGGACACCGTGAGCCACAGCAAGGCATTCTGTCTGTCTATCTGTCTATCTATCTGCAGTGTAATACAAGTTGATGCTTGGCTGGCTGAAAGTTTTCCCACTGCAATTGTTTCACTGGATAAAAGATGGGTTGACTGACGGTTCTTCTCAAAACATTCCTTTTTTTTAATTGAAAACCAGTTATTTTCTCTTGCCGTTATAAAACAATGCTTTATGTTTGAAAATCAAAATTGGGAAATAACAAACCTGATGAGCTTTGTAGTTCAGATGAGTCGCATTCCTGTTTTGTTCTGTGATGTGGATTCCTGGCCAGACTCCATCTCTGACAATGAGCAGTGGTCTGTGGCATTAATCGTGAATATAATCGCTATTCAAAAAGAGCTTCTGGTGTGTCATGGGACGTGCAGTCTGACCAAAAAGCCAGAGCAGTGGGAGAAAATGAGACTTGTCAAGACCAAACTACTGCTTCTGGGGGGAATTTACATTCAAAAGCAGAATGCTTTAATTTTATATTTCCATTAGCAATAAAATTTCTAGAGAGATTTTAGTGCAGGAACTGCAGCCCCTGTACAATGGGAGGGGAAAAGGCAGGCCTTCCTGTGCTTTGTGTGCTGGATGGCTTCCATGGGGCTCCAGTCACGGGATAGGACTCAGGTAAGGCCTCTTTGGGGAGCGTGTTCGTTACTTCTGTGCTTCCCCCTTTCTTCAGAGAGGACCTTGATAAGCAGATCCTGGACATGCTTTTCTCATGGGCTCAGCAAAACTTGGAGGATCCTGACTGTGTGAGCAAGTTGATTACAGCCATGAAAGAGAGTGGCCGCCAGGACATCGCTGAGGAGGTCGAAACCGTCGTGGAGCTGGGACGGCAGAAATACAGGGAGTCCATCCGCCGGGTGGGCTTGGAGCAGGAGAGCAGCACTGAGGACTCTGCCATAGCTATGATGTAGCACCCAGCAGAAAGAACTGGGTGTCGTATGGGGTCCCTCTGCTACCTGGAGTGACAATGTCCTGGGGCTGCTCCCCCCTCAAAGGCCAGTGTCTTCCCGAGGAGCTGGACATTGATTGACTTGTGACCAGAGCTCCATTTGGTCTATACTCACGTGCCAGTTCTGCCAGTCCCAAGCAGTTCAGAGTGCATTTGTGAGCCTTTCCTGCACTTCCACTTCTTGACCTTGATTTCAGAAACATGGAGGAATTCAGAGACTGAAGTGTCTGTCAGTTGAGTAGTGGCTAAAGTAGCCTTTCATGAATTAATACTCACGTTATGTATATTTATTTATAACTTATTTCTGAAACTGTGTTCTGCCAGAAACACCAGGTGTGAGCATTTGGGTCTGTTTGTGCTCCAGTTTTACAAATAGGTAAAAATCCATAACGCTGCTGGCCTGGGAAAGACTCGAATCTAAGTGAAAGTAAAATTTCCCTTGCCATTTCAAAAGGATATTCCTCACGTCCGCCCAGTGAACTATGCCCCTGTAGTAGTGAAGGTGTGACCCCTCATGAAGTTTGGTGAAAAGCAGGACATTTTAAAAACTGGTCTGCCCAGCTGGGAAACGGGCACTGTTGTGGGACTGGCATGAGCTGTGCTGAGCTAACCTCCCGGTTTTGCGGTCTGAACATCTTGTGTAAGGCTGGAAGTGCCTCTGCTTTTTACCTGCTCATTCATTGCTGCTGAGGTGCCCTTCTCCTCCTGTTCCTCATCTCATAAGGGGCCTCAACTAATGACCCACTAATGATGGGGAAATTTCATGCAAGCTTTCTGAAAGGCTATGGTCGTCTATGGAGATTCAACTCTTTCAAGACAGGTTTGGGTTCAGCATAACTCTGTAAGCACTATTTAATTCTCATTCTGAAAACCAAAAGTCTGTATACAAGGCCAGGTTGCAACACCCAAAGTCAACCTGCAGCTGCAGGTCTGAGAAATCCAGGTGTTTTCTCCCCCTGCGAAGAATCATCGGCGGTTTCCCTGATGCTGTGTTTCAGGCTTGCCATCAGTCCTGTTGAAAGAGAGGCATAAAACCCTTCTGCCTTTTTTATTTTTTTAAGGCCATTCTAACACCGTAGGCCATGGAGTGATTAGTGTCTAGTCCAGAGCACTGGGCGAGGGCTTGCAGACATGAGTTGTCGCCCTGGGCCTAGGGGCTGCCTCAGATCTGGGTTCTTAGGCCATGCTGCCCCTCAAGACTCATGTTGGGTTCAAGTCAGCAGTTCTGTTTCGAATGTACATTTTCTCTGGTAGTCTGTGTCATATGTTCCTGTCTGTAACGTTGATGTATACCAATGAGGTATTTGTTCTTTCCTCCAGTTTTGGAGAGATGCATTTGGGCATATTGCTCTGACTGGGAATAAAATAAGCACTTAACAGTCGCACAGCGTGATCTGCTAATCCATCAGTGCCTCACAGTGTTAGACAGAGACATGTCCCTTTACACCTGCTCGCAGAAAGACACAGGAGAGCTTGGCCATGCTGCCCAGCGGTGGCAGAGGAGCTCTCGTCTGGGCACTGCGGGCTGCAAAGCGTCCTGCGGCCCAGTTAGCAACATTGCTGCAGCTTGGCTGTGCTGCAGCGGGGCCAAGCCATGGACCGCAACATTGGGGGCATGGGTTTGCCTAGCTGGGCGGGTGACGAGGGCTCCAGTGGAGCAGGTCTAGGAAGCAACAAGGCTGGTCTAGAGGGGACAGTGCGTAGGCTTAGCCTGGCCTCCGGCAGAGGTGCAGGAGGCTTTTGGCCAGGCAAGGCCAGGCTGAGAAAGTCTGCAGGTAGTGTAAGGCAGCAACCACAGCTATGATGGGCTGAAGTGAGGCTGCGCTTCACTTTCTGTTGGTGATGGCCAGGCAATGGCTGAGTTAGGCAATGCCAAATAAGGGTTGGGGAGGCTGGACCCCGTGGAGGGGCATCAGCAGAGCTACAGCACTTCCAGATAACTGATAGACGGAGCGAGGGGAGAGGGGGGTTAGTGCTAGGTGCTTAGGTTACTCCAGGTAGGGGCTACAACCAGGCCAGGCTACAGGAGAAACCAAACCCTAGACAGTACCATCAGTAGAACATCTCTTCGGGATTTGGGCGGATCACTTAAGGAAAGTTAAGTAACTACCCCAGACAAGTATCGTTATCTCCAGGCTTTCGCTGCCGAGCAGCAGCCGCTGGGCTGGGCTGCCTCGCTGGCCTCTGCTTTCCTCCTTGCAGTGGCACTGAAGCAAGTGCCCAGCTGAGGATCCGGAGGTGCTGGTGGGAAAGCAGAGCGCTGTCCGACTGCTCTTCCTTTCAGCTGACTTGGTGGCAAATATTTGAGCTGGATGCGGGTCAACAGAAAGCACGGTATGTTCAGGCGTGTTATCTTGATCAATGATCTCTTTGAGGCACAGCAGCTCCTTCATAAGCCTGTAGTTGCTATGGCCAGGAAATGCTGCTTGCAGCTGCAGGAGATGGTTGAAGCAGCAAAATAAAACCCAACGTGGGATTTATCTTTTGAATCAAAAGATTGCTTTCCTTTCTGGTGCCTCATGAATTCATCACATACTGGAGTAATCTCCTTCCCTTTCAAGCTATCCGGCTTTTCCTGGTGCCTGTTAGGAACCTTACAGCGTCCTACTGATGATCTGGCAGATTTTGTGTTTTTTACTGTGCCTGATATGTCCAAGATTCCCCCAAATAAATTGCAATCAGAAAAAGCCTCCCTGCAAAAAAAAATTAAAAATAAAGGGAGAAATTTTTTGGGAGTGGGAACATTTTTTCTCCTCCTGTTTTGACTAACATCTATTCCTCTTTAACTCTCATGATTAAACCCTTTTCTACTTCATAAACTTCTGCAGATCTCCAGCAGAATGACCACATGGCCCTGGGAGGTGAACAGTGTGTTTCCCACATACCACCCTCCACTTCCAGATTCTGCTAACCACGACAGTCCTCTAGCTGCCAGGAGACGGGTAGATTCTGGTAAGGTGTTTCCAGCCCCTGCAAAGATTAATAACATAAATAGTTGAGAAATGAAAGCTCAGGCAAAGCTCAAATCAGTTTATTAATTCTATAAAAAGCACAAGGCAAAGCCTGACTGTGCCCTGCAGGGGGTTAAACTGTTTATGTGGTCCCGGCAGTAAAATGCTGTGTAATTCCCAGTAAAAGACCAGAAGGAACTACGAAGGTGGGAGGGAGCCCGCAGGGGCTGTGCTCAGTTTGTCTGTTCACTGTGGCCAGAGAATGACACTGAGAGACCCCGCACATCCATGGGGAGGGAAGGGAAGGGAAGGGAAGGGAAG